GGGCCGGGCCGGGCCCTGCTCGGGCCATGGATGCGTTTCCACACGCCTCTTAGCACAAGGGATCAAAGCGGGCAGCGGGTGACACAGGGAGCTGCTGTCAGTGCTGCAGGGTCTGCGTGGAGCCCCCGTTCCCTGACGCCTGGGGGGGGGAGAAAACCCTCGTGGTGGTAGTTCCCTTTTAAGTTGCCTTAACATTGATCCGCACAGGCGTTTTGTAGCCCTTGGAGATCTTTGTCCGCTCACCCCGCGTGTTCCCGCTCAGCGTTTCTTCTCAAGAGTTCTTAAATGAGGTGTGTGAATGTGTTTCCTGCCTAGCCTTATGCCTGGCCAGTGCTAATTAAGACGGAGGCTTCTGTCTGGTTGATGCCTTTGCATGTATCCAAGTTTTTAACAGGAAATCAGCTGCGTGTGTCGCTGGACTCGACTGCTAACTGCTGTTTTCCAAAGATCACATTTGGTCAGATTCAAAATACATGTTAACAGAAGTGTTGCTGTCATCCAGTTCCTCAGGCGGAAACAAAATCAGAGCCCGCCCGTCGTGAGCTTAGATGCCAAAGTCTTGACATAACTATTTAATAATCGTGACAAACCTTAGCCTCATTAACCTCGGTCTTGGCTCCAGACACCATGGCAGTTAGGTGTTTTGAGCAGGCCTCATGTGAGACGTGAGCAGCCACTGGGTTGCTTGCTTTCTTGAAATGAATCAAAATTCACTGGGGTAGGTGCTGCATTTGGCAGCCTTTCATGCTCAGCTGCTCAAACACTGTCACAGAAGGTGAAGTACTTTCACGCTACAGGGTTAGTGCAGGAAGTGGGCATACAGACCACTTCCCAAGTTTTTTTGTGGCCACATCTGTGTTGTAAGTGGAGCAGCCAGAGAAACCAGGGTCTCTTGGCTGCCTTTTTTTGTGTCTTAAACTTCTCCTGAAGTAGATGTCCTCCCAGTGAGGACAGGAAGGATCTGCACTCAGGTGCTCTGCAGCTTAAAACGGGGAGCAATTCCTGTGTGCAAAAAGTGTTGCAAAGAAGTACTGACTTTTTAAGTATTGCACTATGGTGAGGTTTGTGGCTGTGTCTTCCACGTTGAGGGACTTCCTGTCTCGGAATGCAGCCACAAATTTTCCAAAGGTACTTAAATCCCTGTGGAGTATTTAAATTAGACTTAAAAGAACTTCTTGAAAGTAAAATGAAACTCATTTGGAGGAAGAAAGGAGAGAGCTGACTTGAGGGAAGGTGACAGTTTTAAGTTATGATTGGTTTCTGCCTTAGCCCCTGGAAGCAGAAAGAGGATACAAACCACAGCTGTGGCTAAAGTAATAGGAAGCTCATAGTTTTTTATGTTCCTTACTCGAAGTTTTCAGTTTTAATTGTTAACTCACAGTAATTTACTTGAAAACACTGAGGTGAATTCCCATTTCCTTTCACTGAGCGAGTTGCCCACTGACAGATGAATAAATGTGAATATTATGTGTGAAGTGACTTTGTGTTCTTACTTGAAGTGAGGAGGTTTGTTACCTTGTAATTACCTTGTTTATTTTACATTGTTCAGATTTGGTCCTTGACCTTTTCTTACTTCATACTGTTTGAATGGGTATTGGTTTAAAAAAAAAAAAAAAAAGGGCAAAACAAAGGCCCTGCCTTTGTTTTATTAAGTAAGAATTGGGTTTCTCAAGGATCTAGTACTCATTATTGAAGAGTTCTGATTCACTGGGGCTTTGATATTAAAACTGTTGGGTTTGATTTTAGGTTGCAGATATCAAGAGAGTTAACAATCTTATCAACGATCAAGACTTTTTTGCCCTGAGGTCTGTAAAAATTCCAGTGAAAAAGTTCAGTGTACTGACGGAAACACACGTGTCCCCAAAAGGAAGACCCATCCTCCGGCCTGCTCACTGTTCCCCAGAAGCACAGGAATCATCACCTTCTGACACGTTCTCTGCTAATGAGACTGTTGGCAACTTCTTAAAAGAAATGGACCGAGATATAGAAGAAATAGTGAAGTGTAATGATACCAAGAGAGAGAATCTTAATGAAGTTGTTTCTGCCTTAGCAGCCCAACAGATCTGTTTTGAAACTGATGGTAAACCCAAGAAAAGCAAGGATCCTTACTACGGAGCAGATTGGGGCATAGGATGGTGGACAGCTGTAGTGATTATGTTGATTATTGGCATTGTAACTCCTGTTTTTTATCTCCTGTATTACGAAGTTCTGGTGAAGGCAGATGTCAGTCACCATTCTACAATGGAATCTTCCCATTCGTTTGTCACAGCAGCGTCACATCAGAAACAAATAGAAAATGGAGTAAATCCAGCAAATATTGTAAATGTTGATAATCAATGAGACCTTCAGCCTTAAGAAGAAAATCTCAGGCAGCTGTTCAGAATAACAGGCATAATGTAGTGTTAGAGAAAGAAGAAACCACAGAATGCAAAATGGATCTGGAGTGCAGAGGAAATGTGTACTGAGATGTGACTTGCTTGTGTGGACAGTGTTCCAGTCCATGGGTATTTCTGTGGACCATGTAATCTCTGAATATGCCTGAGACAGGTGACTTTAATGGAAGATTGGGATATAAGTTAAGGTGTAAAATTGTCTCTGAATCTTTGCACTTTTTTTCTATTTTCATAGGCATATGTTTTCTAATTAATGATGAGGTGAAAAAATGTAGCTTGAACTAACACATGAAGAGTCTCACTGTATGTTTTACAGCCCTAAAATGGGCATTTGGGGATACCTAATTTTTAAGCAACCTGAAGTATTTATAGAATGCATAGTACACTTGACATTTTAATATGAGGTTTACAGTTATCACTTAAAACTGTGTTCTCATTTTCTTATAAAGTTAGATTTTTTTTTTTAAACACCCTGTCATTCCATAATGAATTGCCACTATGAAGTTCTTTTTTAAAAGTTACTTTTATATAAGCTGGAATCTTCAAATCTTGTGCCTGTGGTCAGCCTATTATCTAGTACTTCTCAATATAGGCAGTTTTCTGTCTCTGTGATACCATGCTTCAGCATAGTGCAGCTGAGGGTCTTGTTGAAAATTCACATCCTTCCATGGTATCCTACTGACTGGACTGCACTTCTGCAACATGTTGTCCAGGGAAGCTGTGGCTGCCCCATCCCTGGAAGTGTTCTAGGCCAGGGTGGATGGGGCTTGGAGCAACCTGGTCTGGTGGGAGGTGCCCCTGCCTGTGGCAGATGGGACTGGATGATCTTAAAGGTTCCTCCAACCCAAACCATTCTGTGATTCTGTGATTCTTATCTGGTCAGCTGTGTATAAAACAAAAGAACTGCAGATGTATGGCACCTTGGTGTGACTGCTTCACTTCTTTTTATTTTAAGCTAATGGGTTTTTCCCCCTCTCCAGTTAATATGAGTTCAGTACCAACTGATTCCAAAGACAGCAGCTATGTGGGTAGCAAGTATGCTAATGGTCTTCTGCCCATGAACGCTAAACACTTAACTTTTTTGAAATCTAGAAAACTTCAAATGAGATTTACTGACTGCTGTCAAGAAATTTAAATTGCAGCAAAATAGACTAGCTGCAGCTTCACACTTGTTCTTTACATGGTAGTGTATTCCCTGACCACTCTGTTCTTGAACATTTCACTTGGAGTTTGATGAACAATCTTGCATTTCTCCTCTTCCCTAGCCAAAAACCCTACAACATAAGCAAAAAAAAAACCCCAAAAAACAACCAACCCTGGACTCTTGCAGCAGAAAAAAAGGAGGTACTTACATACTGAGAATACTTTAAAAATAAAAACAGATGCTGCCTATTTTATTTTTTTTTTGCTTTATTTGCCTTGTGGATTTCTATTGCTCTGTTCAAAGTACCATTTTTTAACCAAGCCCAAGATACCTGATTTGAATAGGACTTAAAGATATAGAAAAATATCACTGTCCTTTAAACTGTTACTACAAGCTTTCCTTTGGGTGGCTTGCGTAAGTATATACAGTATAAAAAAAATAGTAATCTGATAAAGTCAATGTTTCCTAACTATTGGAGGTATTCCAAAGTCCTTTATCAACTTTAATTTTGGAATGAAAGACTTGTGCTTTGTTCTGCTGGGAATATTGGACCTGTTGCCCCAAGAAGTCAGGCAGATACTCTCCACTGGCATTCTATGTGTGTGAGCATAAGTGTATTGTATTGAGATTGAAGCAGGCCAAAGCTTGAAGGGAAATGCTGTGCAGTTGGATCCGTGAACTATGATCTATGACTCCTGAACCTTTTGACCAAAGTGTTATCTGAGGAGATAATGTGTGTTACTCATTGTTTCCACATGAGGGATTGCAAACAGGCATGAACTTCATGCTTCACATAATGCTTGTTTTCAGAGAGCTTTTAAAATAGTAATTCTTTACATGAAAAAAAATATGCCAATAACAGAAGCTTGAGTACTGAAGTACCAGTTCTAGGTAAGGCTGTAAGAACAGCATTGCAGGAGAATTTATACTAGCTAACATGGTACAGCTTCCATTGCTAAAACTTTAAAAGGTGACTTGCTTTAGTTCAGACCATAGGGCTTTGACATGTTAAGACAAACATTTTCTATCTAGGACTAAAACTTGGTACGTAATGTGTCAGTTCTGTGCTGCAACCTTATTTGCTGGTTTGCTTCTTTTGTTCTGTTGGAAACCTCAGCATTTTTCATACATTGATAATTCTGTAAGAAATGTAAGGATAAAGAACTTGAAATTAGCTATTGTGATGATGCAATGTAAGCATAATTTACTTTAAGTCCCTAAATTGCTGGGTATTATAATGTTATCAGTACAGAAGCAAACTTGACTTCAGTTGTCGCTGGACTTGGGAAGATCAATATCCTGTTGCCTAGGAGTAAACAGGTGGGTGGTTAACTGTTGGCTTTTCATCCTTGTGGTGATACCACTGAGTAGTTCACTTGGAAGGCCTGTGACATCCTGTCACCAAGTTAAGTGTGATGAGCCTTTCTTTACACAGTGATAAACAGTCGTTAGAATAACACAAAGGGGAGGCTGTTGCATTGAACCGATATTACACTCTAATCTAGAGCCTAGCATGTCTGTATGTGGGATATTTCATAAATTACATTTTAAATGTAGAGAGTGAATTTTATCAGAAGATACAGGAGGTCTTTTTCAAAGATTGTAGCATTCTGGTACTGGCTTTCTGCAGGATGCAGGGATCTTTACTGTTTTTTTTCCAAAGTACAACACAATTAGCAATGCATCATCACATGTCAGCCCTGCATAAACAGGGTTACTGCTCTGTATGGAACTTAAATCTGATGTAAGTTAACGTGTGTTAGTCTTTTAGAAACTGACTTGTTAAAAACACCACCACAACAGAGCAGTAAATAGTATTTTAGATTAATTACAACACATTGTTGATCAGGAAGTTGATTTTAAATTTAGGTGCATATTGCACTGTTGGATCATGTAAAATGTAAATCCTTTAAATCTGCTATATTTTGGAGTATTTTGTCACAAATAGTCTTTGTATAACTATTTTATAAAGGCTGGAAATATAACTTTGTAAAATAATTCTGAATGAGGACACAAGTCTTATTTTAAATACTTCTGTTCCTCTGCTTTTAGAAGAACATAATATACATACAATAAAGATTTTATTTTAGACTGCAGTGAAAGTGGTGCATATAATGTGTTCTCAGCCCTATGTACTTTGCATGATTTATTACAGGAGGCTACTACTTGTATTTGTTCTGGCTAGTTTTTATGTATAATCTAAAACAAAACCCCCTGGCCAACAAGTTACTGAGTTGGCAGTAGCTGCGTACAGCGTTCCATGTCTAGCACCATAACTAGAACCTTGTTTATCCTCTGCATGCCTTGTAGGACTTGGAACTTCTCTACATAATGTTCTGAGAACTTCTTAGTTCTGTGAAATGAGGATTAAGAAATAGGCATGAAAAATCAAGGTGAGGATTAGTGAAGTTCTTAGATGGTGATCTCCCTACCCACTGAAAACAGTGCCTTTTTTAGGAAGTAGCAATGCTCTTCCACTGCTTTTCAGATAGGATCTGAATATATGCCTGCCCAAACCCAAAGTGTGCTGAAACCCAAAGAACAATCTTAACTTCTGTCAGCATTACAGTTCTGCAATAAGTACTAAGCAATTGGAAAATCAGCTTATAAAAGCAGCTGCAAGTGTGCCAATGGGACAGCAAAAGCAGAACTCTGCATGTTTGTAAGTGCTGGCCTTGCTGGCCATTGTCAAACTAGTCCTAGAGGATCCATCCTAAGACTCTGTAGTTTCCTCAGGAGGACAGAGGTGACCATAGTTCACCTTTTAAAGGTCTCAAAAAGACCCAATTTCTGCGGGACTAATATGCCTCAACAGCACAGCAGGGAGGCTGTTGTCTCTCCCATTGGCAGTGTGATGAACAAGTCCCTGATCCCCAGGAATTAGTATCTGCTATAAAATAAGGCATTGTACCTGTTCACACAAGCCACAGCTTGTGACCAAATTGTAACTCAGGCAGTAATGCTTTTCCAGTGTTAATTCCCTAGTTCCATCTTTGGTTAAAGCCACTTACTTGCATTCCTTGAGTGCGAGACAAGGAGTCTCTCACTGTTTATCTTGCATCAAGGGTAACAGCTCATAGAAGAGCAGACTAGCTGTGCTTGGGGCAAGCATATATCTTTTCCAACACCCTTGCCATGTTTACATCTTCTGTTTTTCTCTTGTGTATCACATCCAAGAAATAATAAGCACCACTGTTCAAGAAATAACTGCTGGCATGTGTGATGTTCAAATAAAATTATCAGACAGAATACATTTCCTATGCAATGCAGCAGGAAGTTTATTAAACATGATTTGTAAAGGTATGAACCTCTCAAAATAAAATTGGTATACCTCTGAGGTGTGACCTCCATAGCATTTCAGTGTAATTTCCTTTACATCTGATACGTATTTTATCAGAATACTTGAAAGCTACACCTTAATGAACAAATTCTTACTGCACACAGAAGTTCATGGAATAATGTAGTACTGTTTGCGAGTCAGCAGTGAGGTAAAGTACTGCCTGACAAAATGCCAAGCTTGCAAGGAAAACTTCTGTACTTTCTTTTGCAAATAAAATAATTGATTTTGTTCTAAAACTTCTTTCATTAGACCTGATAACAGCACTAGGTATCAGGAACATGATGCTTTACAAAAGTAAAAAAAAACACACCAAAATATGGTGATGATCAGCAGCAATGTCATAACACTTACCAATTTGTGTCATCAAAGAACAATAGGACACAGAGAATGCTCTGTTATTTCCTTAAGTTTAGGAGTAAGTTTGATACACTTCAGCTGTTGGTTCTCAAATAAAGTTAATGTTTCTAAACATTTTGGTTTTGGTATTCTCATAATTCTTTATTTTTTTTCCTAATTAAACCTCATGCATCGAGGTATTCTTTTCCTACCTCTTCAGGTAGTTTTTTGTTTGTTTTTTTTGTTGTTGTTGTTGTTGTTTTTAAATTGATTTGCTGTCTGTTAAGTTTCTGTCTTGTTTATTCTGTAGAAAAGCAAATAAATGCATTCATAATTACACAGGTAGCTACCATCTGCCATCTCACTTAACAGCTCTATGAGGTAGGAAAGTTAGTACCACTGTAAGAGGCAGGGAAACAGATGAAGAACTGGAAATTCTTACCAGTAATCTGTGTGCTACTGGTAAAAACCAGGATTCTGTAATTTCAGCCTTAAATTCTGCCATATATTATTTGTAAATTAAATTACCCTTAATTATTACTTACACTGATTCATAAAGGTAATGTAACACATTAAATATTACAGTTTCTTCTTACCAAAATACTAAAAGTAAGTTCTTTTAACCAGAATAATAGCTCTTAAAAATATTCTCATTATGTTGTTTGTCCATACTATTAAGCTTCTTTCAGAACAACTTGTATTAAAGTGCTGAGTGATCAATTATTTTCAGCCACCTGGATTCAAAAGTTACATGAATTCCTGCAGAGAACTCAGCTGCCAAGTACAAGCAGCTTACATCCATAAAGGCTGGATCTCTTTTTTTTCCTGCAGTCGTCAAGAATTTTACAATTATTTTCAAGATTAGACTGCTAAAGCTTAGAACTGACTAGTGCAAATGCTTAGGCACAATTTTGATTAAAATGCATTCCTTCTTTTTCTGTGCAGAGGCAATACAATGGCATATGACTCTTGTGAGTCAGCATTCCAGAGACCCTTAAAAAGGCTCATGTCTGCAGAACGTTTGGCAAAAGAACAAAACACAGGATCCCACATCCTGTTTCACAGCATAGTGCAACTGAAACTTGTTCAATGTGTGTCTGGAGAGCGTGCTTAAAAATCAACAGGGCTAAAGCATGAGTTTTGTTGATCCCCAGCCTACCTCAGGAGTTCTACTTCAAGTAGTGTAAGGCTTGAGCAGTGCACCACCTAGCAACAGCAGTTAGTATGTTGCTTCATCCATGTTGTCATCACTGCCAGCACCAAAGTCATCCCCATCTTCAAAATATGAAGAAATGTAGTCATTTTCCTAAACAAAAGGAAAAAAAAAGAAACAAACCCTATCACTGCATCTGTGGAGGAGACATTTTTTGAAAGAAATGTGTTCTAAGCTGTACTTGGGCACCACTGTTTTGAAACAGCAGTATGAGTTTTATTATTATTTCTTGGGAAAGAAAAAGCACAAAATACTGTAATGAAGTTCTGATGTCTATGAAAGGAGAGGCATCACTTTTAGTGATGAATCACAGTACGTACTGATAGTGGCAAGGCATAATTCCTACCTGCAAGATCTTTTTCCAGAGGTATTTGGGAGTAACCAGTCTAAAACACCTACTAAAGTATAACACAATGGTGTGAACAAAAAACCCAATGCAGTAATGCCTCTCACTACAACTCCCCTCAGTGTCAGAAAAGCTAGGGACATTTTCTTTGGCTGGCAGCCAACACCCTGCTCCAGGAGTGGGGTCTAAATTTGTCTAAGTAGGAAAACTAACATGATACCTCTTCATGCTCCTCTTCGTCATATTCCTCTGGTTCTTCCGCTTCTTCATCATCTTCACCTTCTTTGTCTTTTGTTTTGTCTTTCTCATCTTCAGATTTTTCTTCTTCATCATCCTTCTTTTCCAACTCCTGTCACAGGGAAATCTTTACAATCCCAGGTAATCCCATGTTACAGCACATCCTTCACACTACCAAGATATTGTGCTGCAAGACAACTAGCATAACAATGCTGTGCAAATGTGTTTTGTCAACACCTTAAGTGATGTGAAGCAGAACTTCCTAAGAACTTACTTGATGAAGCATTAACCCTCAGACTTGAAGTCTAAAAACTATGTCTTCTGAAATAAATTGAGATGATGATTTCTCTTTACCATCAGCTGTTAGACAGTAAAAGGCCATATCATCCTTGATAAAGCAATATCAGGAGCTCTATATATTAATGTACCAAATAACTGATGGATCACCAATAGAAGAAATACAAGGCTGCTCCCCCTCTCAGCTTCCTGCTGCCCCACAGCAGGTAGTTGCCTCCACAACCCAGATCATGCTTCTTCTAAACTCTTCTCTTCCTGTATGTTTCTTCCCTCTCATATTCCTGTTTCATTTACAGTGTCAGTAGATTGGTGAAACAGCAATGGATTTGAAAGCTCTAGCACCAGTTCCTCCTTCAGTAAGCTCTAATAGTAGCTCTGCTGTTCACAATCAGACTACACTGCTACTCAGTGAAGAAAAAATAACTGGTCATTGTGCTCAGAGTCACACAGGAGCAAAGAAAACATCTCCTCCACAGCCAGTCTCCATCCTTATCCTCTCCTTTGGGCTACCACACTGCACAACAATGGGTCAGAGTCAAATAGCAAAAGCCAGAAAAAGGTTGCTCTGGTTATTCCATTTGTATCAAAAAACAAACTAAAAGTTTCATTTTCCTTCAGCAATTTCTACTGTACAATTTAGAAACAGTTATGTAACTCTTACCTCAAATTTTTTCAATACATCCAGATTACTTTTAGGCTCAGAGCTTTTTGCCTTTTTTGGTTTTGCACCTGCAGAAATAAAATACATCACTGTTTTGTTTTTTTAATATGGAAAAAGACTAATTGTTTTCTTTTACTTGTTCTTAAGAGCTTACATCTTAAGAATGCTATGGAAATCCTATACTATCTATATTAAAGTAACCTTAGACTTTGAGCTAGATCATTCATGGAGCTATAAAGGCCCAATTTATCCAAGTGATGCCTACAGAGTCAGTCTGAAACTCACTTTGAACAGTTGACCACAGGTTTGGCCAAAGTATGACATTCAGCTTTACAAAATACTTTCCACCTACATATTCACCGGATTTTAAGAAACTAGAACAAAATCTCAATTTTTTGTTTTTCATCATGTTGGAAAGAGAAAAACTCATTAGTGTTACTAATTTATGCAACACATTAATGACAGTTGGGTGCTTCAGATAAATTAAAAAATGCACACAGTAGTTTATTAGCTCCAAAACAGTAGGCATGGTTTGTGCAGCTAGATGGCTTTTGGACCACAGCTGGCTCTCATCTAATGAGTCCACAGAATTTCCACCTAGTTCCTTGATTCAGGAACATAATCTTTTTTACCAAGTTACTCCCTAAAATCCTACCTCATGCTACTTAACTATATGGTGGAGTGAAAGTCAAAGATAGCATTCCTTACACACAGTAAGAGGCACCTGAATTGCAACACCCTTAGCCAAGGCTGCCCCCAACCCCAGGAGTGCAGTTTGACTCGTAGATGAGGACAACCAAAAAGCTCCAGACCGAGAGATGTACTGATGTATTTAGAGACCCGTGAGACATCCCATTTCCACAATGGATCTTGACTTTCACTGCTGTTTCAGCATGATGACATAGAACTGGGAAGGCAGGGCTGTACCTAACAGAGATGAGCTCATCAGCAGAGTAGAACTGCCCATGTAGGGGCCATACTGCTGTAGCTACACAGCTTCTGATGGAGCAGGCAACTCCAGGCAAGCTAGCCCAAGCAACCTGCACCACTTTTATACCAGGCTGCACTATGTAGTATCTGAAAGAAAAACAGCATGCACTGATGGAAGGGATCTCCTTCCTAGATCAGATAGTGACCCTATGTTTTCATCTGGCCCAATACTTAAGGAAACAGAACACTAAGAGCTGCTAAGAAGACAACTGTATTTTGCCAAAAGTGATTGTTATGAACAGCATTCAGTTCATTTCGGCATTTTGTCTAGGAAAGATTTATGCAGCGAAGGCACCACACAGAACTGAGGGGAGTCAAGCAGCTCTAATAACATGAGCAGTGTCAAAGCAGACACATCTAGAATCAAGTAGGCTTTTAAGGAGAGCAAGTACAAAGTGCAATTCAAAATTATCATCATCTCTGCACAAACCCCTGCAGGCTTTTAGAGACAGTGCCTATAAAACACACAGCCTGGAATTCAAAACAGACATGCAAGATCGTTCCTTAAATGCTGGACATCTCTGAAGCTCGTAACAAAATTAGAGATGGTGACCCTCCATTAGTAGAACTTCAAGCAAAATAGCTCCTTGCATTCCCGTAGCTTAAGAGATGCAATGGAATACAACCCAGTATTTCCAAGTACAAAGGAGTACAACCAAGTATTTCTCACAGTACTGGGGCCTCAATGCACACATCAGAGTGCTATATTCACATATATATATAGCTGGCCTACAAGAGATGAACCCTGTCAATGGGGTTTGTTTTTTTGGCATTGCACTACTGGTATCAAGGATACTGTGGTCCCCAGCCCAGGATAAGTGTGGGACAGATGTGGAATTCCACCCCAAAGTTTTGCCAGCAAGAAGGCAGGTGGTCAGGTCTTGAGATTCAAACATTTGGGGAAACGAGAAAGGGAAGGGAGAGTTGTGTAAAAATGGGGTGGTCCCTGTACATGTAAATGGCATGATTTTTTGCTTTTAGAAGAACTTAATTTTTTTTTTATCCAATCCAATTCTGAAGGTCAGCTGATCTTTACCATCACAACTGTGTGAGAAAGTGTGCCTTTAAGAGCAAACAGAGAAAATGGCACAAAAACAAGAGGAACAATCCCCCACAGCGAGCACTGATTCTCTCTGTGTTTATAATAATCACAATATTATTGTAACAAGGAATAATAAATCCGGGTGTATGATTTCACTGGATCTTATTATTGTAACAAGGAATAATAAATCAGGATTATTTTGTTGGATCTTGGAGAGCTAGCTATGGCATATAGGCTTATAAAACCTTATGCAATTTCTTATTTTGAAAAAGAAAAAAGAAAGCAGGTATGCACTGGTTTCCTCTTCAGAGACTTTGTAAGTAAGAATTTAATTTTTAGTTGAGTCTTGCAGTCTACCTTTAGTACCGTGCTTCTCAGTGATGCTCTTAAAAGGAACAAAGCTTCCAGCTGAGCCAGCCTCCATGACTACTGCACATTCACTTTTCTTTTTCTGTTATACCCTTGAACTGAAAAATGACACATGAAGGACTTGGACAAAGAGAACACAAAAGTAAACAATTCAGACCTCTAGATACAGAAGGGCAACTTGTTACTTCACATCAACAGAGCAACAGACTTGTACAAAGAACTTGAAATAACAATAATGCATACTAGAAAACACTTGGAAAAACAAATACATGGATGATGCTGTTCAATAAGAAAGTTTTCTTTTCCTGTAAGAACAACCAATACCAGCTCTAACTGCTGTTGAAGGATCTGGTTCAGAATTCTGCAGAAGAAAGCTGAAAATAAACAAAAAAAGTAAACCCAGGGAAAGTAGAAAATAACCTACAATGAACTATATCTAAAAGGTTTAAAAAATGCAAAAGTCAATCAAATGATAAACAAGATAATTAAGCAACCCAAACTATAAGGGAAATCTGAAGAGGCAGGGGTTCACTGTACACAAGAAGGGTGGGTGCTGACTAAAGATACAAACTTGCAAACCACAAAATTGTGTGTTGATTTTTTTTTCATCTTTCACTGATACCTCACATGTCAAGATGGTGTATCAGAAAGGCAAGAAAGGAAGAATCTGTTTCAGTAAGTTAAAAAACCTACAGAAGCAAAGTAAAAACCACAGAAGACAGGTAGACTAGTAAATCAGTAAGAAAAACTCTGCCAAAAGCCCTGATTATTCAGACTAATTAACATTTCTATTATTTTTTTTCCCCCTAAGCCACTCCAGTATGTCTTCTATCACTCAATTAGTATGTACTAAAGGCTTCTTAAAATATATATATTCTACCTTTTTTGGTCTTTTTCTTTGGCTTCATCTCTCTTGGGAGTCTTCTCCAATCTGTACAGAAAACAGCTTAATCTAAATAAATGATGACTTACAGCAATAATCTTCCCCTTGCCACCCACCAAGGAAAGGGAGAGGACCTTGTGCTACTTACATGCATTTGTTAAGTATTTTAGCACATAAACCGTTTTATGGAATTCTAGCTATACTTTAAATTGAGGAATCTGAGTGAGGATTGGCATTTCACCCCCTTAATGACAACTGGCATCTTCCCCTGAGAGGCAAAGTTCAGCCCTTCCAGTGGCCCACATGCTTTTCAATCTACTTTCTATAATTAAGTTGGCAGCAGTGAGCTAAGCAGGTCCATGATTGTGGAAGTTTAATGTTATAAAACACAACTACCTGTGACTGAGAAATCAGGTTGGGTTATTTTTAGTAACACCAATGTTTGCTCCCAGTTTAAAACTGGGATCTGCATGGCAAGTAAGGTGGAAGGAGAGCTGGAGTGAGAGATAAAGCTTGCATTTTTTTCTGCAAATCAGTTGTTTCAACTGAGTAAATAAATAAAAGCAGGCTTGTTTCTTTTTTTTTTTTTTTTCTTTTTCTTTTTGGACAAAACAATACTTCACCTTGACCTGAAAACATGAAAAGGGGATAACCCTCAAAAAGGAATGTATGACGTAGTAAGGATTTGCATACTCTTTTACTGCTTGAAAAATAATCAATCAAACATTTAAATGAGTGGAACATTTCACACGTTAATAAATAATTAACCTTTGATAATATCGGGTATTACCTGGGGTCCATGCTGCATGCTCCTTTTCACTGTCCTGGTACTTTTTACTGTACCTCTCAATTGCTACAGAGAAGGACACAAAGAATATTGGATTCAATTAATTAAAAAGGAAATCCAGACACAGTCCTTGATATTTTCCTGTCACTGAACATACAGTGTATTTTTTCTCCCTCATTTAACACTTTTTTACACTCTTTGTACTTTTGTCAAGCTCCTAAAAAACAGTTTAATGTCACCACTTTGAACAGTTCTCTGGAACATACACAAGACTAATCATTTGCTCAGTGCTTGCAAGACGCAGAATTTATATCTCAAAAAAAAAGAAAAAAAGCAGAAAAGCCTGAGTATTTATTTTCATTTTGAAGCATTTCCTTCCAAGCAAACCATTCCCCCTCCAAAAAGAAACCAACTCAAAACAAACCCTCCAAAATGATTGTAATTTATATTTCTATCCTTGGAAAGCATGATAATGTAAACTGCCAGTAAAGTCACAGAAATAATGCTGAAAGATCAAATGAATGCCAGATCTTCTACTCTTCAACAATTTCACAATCAAGCCTTTGCTACAAAACCAGTCAGTGACATTTATCACCACTGTGCTAATCATAAAGCATAATCTAGAATTCTCAGTTCTCCAAAGGCCATGTCTCAGACTGATCAGCAGTTATAAGTACATCCATTTATTCTGCAAAAGAGCCTCCTTGAACAATCTCTGATGACAAAAGCAGTAAGAATACTTAAGTATTTTTATACCTGTCCCATTTGTTCTTACTAAATCACCATTTCCAGTGGCAAAATTACTCATTCTGATGGCACTAATAACTCATTACACAAACAGGGATAATTTTTGTGTGTATTGTACAGAAAATTGCAACAAAGTCAGGATGTGACCTTTACAGTAAAAGGCTTCTTTCATACTCACCAGAGAAAAGGGAGAAGGAAGATTCCAAAAATGAAGATCAATTTTAAACTTAGTTATGAGGAGGGCGAGCAGAAAACTTACTTAAAAGTGTGACACAGGAGCTTGCATTTAAAATGACACTGTCTAAAGGGGCAATTAACGTAGGTGGCTGTCAGAGATGCTGTCGGAAACTGTCAGCGTGGAGAAGGAAAGAAACCAGTCATTTTGACTTCAGCTCCAGGCTCTTCACTGAAGAACTAATTGCTGATACCATCAGTAAAAAAATACAATGGACTGCCTCACCACTCACTCCTAATGAATTAATTCCAACCCACTGCCAAGGTGATAGTTACCCAGTCACAGCAGATACACCTACAGGAAAAATATGAATGATTCATAGCTTATGCAGAGAGGAAAGCAGAGAACTCACTATATAAGAAGCCTGCTACTTATTTAAAACGAGTCTCAAAATGAATGATGAAGACCTATTCTGTATGGCACACTAATGCATCAAAATTGTCAGATAGTATTAGATGTGGCTTTCATTTACTACCTGAATAGTGAAAGAAAAGACAGATAGCTATAGCCTAACTAATTAAAATGTTTCCCTTCTCACACTTCAAAAGACTATTTGGCTTACAGCTGTTGTTCTGAGGGTTTACAACAATCCATTTGCTCTTGAAGCAAAGCCAATTAAAAAAGTTCCTGCCCACAGTCCCCCTCCTGCCTCTCTCTTATTCCTACCAGATGTTTTCATGACATAAAAGGGAGAAAAGGGCTGTAAACCAGATAGCAGAAAAGATAAGTTAAAAATAATCTACCTTGGGGGAAGCAAGCCATTTCTGAAAGCTAGGCTACTTCTGCCACATAATGCAATCCCAGCCACAACTGCATACTGTGACTGAGATGAAAGCAAGCTTTTTAAGCTGCAGACCACCACTGATGTAATTACACCCCACCACTCAGATGAGGCATTTTTATACAACTAGAGGTTCACTAAAAAGTTACCTCCTCTTACCCTTGGGGAGATGAGAACATCTGAAGCATTATTTGAGTGGCCTTCCCTACAAAAGCCAGTTTTTGTACAGAAACAGCCTTCAAAGCTGGTACTTCTATTAAGAAACATATTCAGCAACAGAAAGAGATTACCTCAAAAAGCAGGCTGCAGAAACAAAGATGATTTTGAGGTGAATTGTAAAAATGATCACAAAGCAGAGATGAAAAAGAGATGGAGTATGTTCTCATTGAAACATAATGGAAATATGTTAGTTAACTCCTTGGAAATAACCCTAAGCAGCTCTCAGGCATTGCATCCCCTTTTGTGCCTCAAATGGAAACAGACAACTTCAAGCCTGACAAAGATCAAGAGCAAGGCAAGACTCTAGTGATATGGACACGCGATAAAACAGTAATTTGGAATTCTTTTACCATCATAAAGGGACATAGAAATGAAGATCAGATCTGTTCTAGTCTCATAACAATGGTTTTATCTGGCTGCACTGTCAGCGTCCACCCTGGGCTGTGCTTGTGTGCACTACAACTGCCTGCTGCATCTTAGTGACTGCTGGACTCTAGCTGCAGGTCAGAGGGAATATTCTGCCTCTTGTGAGCCACCCTACTTGGCTGGCAGTGTGTTCACTGCCCACATTGCAGAGCACTGCTCCATTTTAAACAGCACCTCAGTACATGTAAACAACCCGTAAGGTGTGTTAACCAGGGTTACATTCAAAGCCTAATGGAAAAAAATAATGCAGTCTCAAAACCAGCTACAATTCAACACTACTCCGTGAAGAAAAACTACCAAAAATTCAAGGGTGACTGGACTATGTACCTATACAGTATCAACATCATGACTGTTCAGTCAGAAGATATTCTGATGGTTTGGGGGAAGAAATGCAAGCTCAAATTTTTAAGTTCCAGTCAGCTCTGATTATTCAAAATCTGCACAAAACACTAAGGAAAAGATTACCCAGTGTCTGACCACTCTGGATTTGCTGGGCATTTTTATAAGGCTTTTCAGCAACTGCCCACTGCACTGCCTGGGCCTCAGGTCTTACACACAGAGTATTTCCCATGTTATGTTATCAGCACTTGCCATATATATTTGCCATATTCAGAACAAGCATTCAGAAGGATGATAGAACAAGGCAAAAATCCCAAACACAAAGTAGCACTCCTCACATCAATAACCTCCCGGGACTGGTAGATTTACCCCCACAGCAAGGGAAACAGGTATTAAAGTCTTCCTACCCTTCTCTCCTTTCCTTCTCTCCCACTATGTCAGTTTTCTGACCAGGAAGCAGGGTTTTTAACAGTACAATGATGTATGACTGTATGTCAACTATAGCAGAGCATTTATTGTTATCAAATAATAGCAAACTGATTAATTTTTAATGACTTATAAGCAAAAGCCATTCTTAGGTCAAGTAGAGTAAGATCAAGCTTTGGCTTCTAATGCAGCTCTGCTTCTGCTGCAAACCTCAGTAAATCACTTATCCTCATCTCAATCTTCGTATATCAGGTGGCTTGTCAGTAACACTGATTTTCCCTGAATGGACTCAGGGGAAAGAAAAAAATTAGTACCTTTCAGAATGGCCAGCTATTAAATATAACTGATTATTTTAAGTATGTTTTTATGCAATTAAAAGGGAAGCTGCATTTCAACACTGGTATTTACTACCAATTTCTTTGCTCCAATGCAAAATTTCAAGGGTATTTTAACAAGTGGAAATGCTTATTGTATTAGTTAGAATAAAACTGAAAATACTTCACAGCTGATCTAAGTGTTTCTTGCTGTACAACAAATGAAACAGATGTTTGATACCTCTCTTTTTCACACAGTAGTTGCTTTCCAGTTACAGCACTTGTAGGTTTGACATACAGTTTCAGTAAAAGCAGAAGAATTTCCAACTGTCTTAAGCTGCCATTTTTTATTCCTCATTATTAGCATGAAATACATCTTCAACACATGCATTTCACTACATCATCCTTCAGGGAGTAATAACTACAGAAGTTAGAAATAAAAAGCACACAAACAAACCTTCACGCTCTTCTTCTACTGCCAAAAAATACGGCATTCTTTTCATAGTTCCTCTAAAGTCTTGTTTTAAGGCCAACATGTAATCTTCATCTTCTCCTGTTTTCAGAGGCACTGGCTTATTGTCTGTACTCTGTACAAATTATGTTTATTATTTATAAGGTCTTAACATACGTCAAAACTATGCATTATGCTACTTTGCAACTATATTGCATTCCAACATGCAGAACTGTTTGCAATTAAACTTATACCTTTTATGGCTTCACTGTATCTTTCTGCAAAAATATATCAAGAAATCAAGGGAAAAAAAGGTATTAACACTGTGAAATAGTGATTCATAGTCATGTTAAGCTGCCAATTGCCAAAAACAGGTTTTCACACTAGCCTAACTTACTCAGAAACTACTGCTTCCCTCTTCAGAGTAGCACTGGCCTTAACCTCTTCTAAAACAGTATTTTAACTACACTAATATGTTTACTCTGAGTAACATGGACACCCTTCCCACCACTATTGTCACAGACACAGACATAGGTTGTGTTGTCATACAACCAGGTAGCACACAGGTCCTCACACAATTCAGTTTCTGTCAAATGAATTTAAATTAATAGTAAAAGTTTGGAATTTTTTTTATTTTTTTTTTTTTGGAAGTTGTTTGAATTATGAATCTTTGAAATTGGGAAAGATAAATTAGCAAAATCAGTTTTTAAAAATAAACAGAAAACTAGAGCCAGAGAGATAATTATAGAGTAGATGTTGTTTCTCTCACCTGATGGCGCACAATCAATACCTGGGTGGCAGGTTGCAAAGCACAAAGTTATGTGACAAGTCCTGGAGCTGGATCATGAAAGGAGTTTACTTCTTCCAGCTGTATTAGCTGGCCAACATTTTAAATTACTAACGTTGCTGTTAGTAAGCTGATGCTCCTTAACTGGGTTTCCAATTGCACTTACAGGAAATGCACAAGAACTCAAAAAGTGCCTATTAGAAATAATGGCAATAATTCACTGCTTAAAATAATTTCAGTCTAAGTCAGTCAACAACTGCAATATACTTTTGGTCACTGCTCAGTCATTAAATCTAACTCCTGAAATTTGTATCCATACTAGTTATGCCCCTGGGTTAACTATGGTTTATTTGAATGACACTAGATTTCCCCTGAAAATTTAACCTGGTTCTGAATTTTTTTTCCCCATCAGGAAGAAAGCATCTTTAGTTCTGCATGGTAATCATTAGATACACTGGGGCTAATAATTCTCCTAAAAGGCTGATTCACTGCTGACTGTAACTGCAGAAGCTGTAGATTACACAGGATTCACAGAATCACAGAACAATTCGGGTTGGAAGGGACTTTACAGATCATCTAGGTCCAACAGACTGCAACATTCACTCTAGGAACAATTACAGATGGTTTGCTATCAATGAAATTACTCAACTTAGTTAGAGGTAGTCTAAGAGGATACATAATATCTGGTTCAGTGAGTCAAAACCTTGTGTCAAAGTAGCATTCAGAGAAAATTCTGTGTAGCCGAATTTGCAATTACATGTCAAACTTGCAAATTCTGTATCAATATGTGAGATTAAGAAAAACTTCATGCACCTTGACCAAACTGTGACGTAACTGGGAAGTTTTCTTGCATAAAACTGCAACATTTTAAGACTACTTTTCCATCTCAAAATCATCCAAGTTTCCCTGCACTGTGGAACTGAGCCAGAAAAGGCTCTTTCTTCCCCTTTCATTTAAAAATACATTCCAAATGCAATTAAGTTTTCTTCATTGCATAAAATATCATTCGGGTGTTTTTAATTATTTTCAAATTTTGCCTACTGAGAGACAATACAACTTCATTTCAAACAAATGCAGATACCCAGGGTTTCTGTCACTGTAATGTCTGGAAGACCAAGTAATTATGAGCACTTCAGTGAACCAACATTTTGCATGCAATCTAGTTAAATATGGGATGCAAAGCAAAGAGGTTAGCAAAGGGGTAGGAAGCAATAATAAGAAAATCAATTATTTACATTATATGCTTCAAAATTGGCCTAAAGTGCTTAAAGCTGTTAATGTATTTAGTTCCATTATCTAAACACTGAGAGTGTGTTCTCAGATACCTGCAGTACTTACAGGAAATGGTGGTGGAGGCTTACACATGACATCAGGGAGAGCTGCACCTTTAGCAAAGCCAATAGCCTCAACATCGAAGGTAAATGAAGCTCGTCCTCTTCCTCTACCTGACCCAGCCATCTGGAGGTGCTGAAAATATTACAGATTTTTAAAGAGTTACTTTCACTACATTTATCAAATGAATATATGTATTACCTATAAAATTTATGTTTAGAAAAGATTAATTTTAAAACCACTCTTGACAAGAAATTTAACTAGCAAGATGACTTTAACAGATAAATAAATACCAAACATTTGGCAAATGCCAAAATCAACTCAATTCCCTGCTTTCTTCTAGCAACCTCTGCATGCCCAAAATCACCTCCTAATCTTGGAATTTTAAACTTTCTTCTTTTAAACCTTCTTTTTCCTCTTTTAAACCTTTAAACCTTTAAATCTTCTTTAGATACACTGACTTGAGTTCAATCAGGGTAGAAGCAGCAGGAACAAGAGAAGATTTAAAAAAAAAAAAAAAAATATTATTTTTTTTAAGTTCAGGGACCCTAACCTTTCTCAGAACTTCTCTCCAAAAAAAGTTTGTCACTCATGGCTTTTTCACCCTTCAGATTATTATTTTCCCCTTTTCCTAGTTTTGGGAACTGATACAGAGCCAAATGCAAAGAGGTTCAAGGTAAAACCATCTAGGGCTTTTATTCCCAAAAGCTCTCTCAGCTCCACTACAGCACATCCACAAGTGAACTGCTGATAAAAGCAGCTTGTTTCTAACTTAAATATTTTGTAGAATCATAGAATCACAGAAGATGCTGAGTTGGAAGGGACCCATCAGGATCATCAAGTCCAACTCCTGTCCCTTGTGTAGGGCATCCCTAGAATCACACCATGTACCTGAGAGCATGATTTCACCAAGGATATAAAAGAATAAATAGCCTGCAGAACTACATTTATAGTCACAACTCACCACCTTCACTGTTATGCCAATCTCCCTCTCAGGACTGTAAAACCCATGGGCTGGCAGGGAAAGCAAAATGTGAGGCAGATATTTTTTCCAGGGGAAGAAGTCAAGAAATGGGACCCAAGAGAAATAACGTGCTACTGCTGTTCCTTTCTCAAGACCATGTGCAGATAAATTCAAGGCCCCAGCTCAGAAATCTTATATGCTGTTTATCATTCATTCCAATATTACCATATTGCACTTAGTAAGAATCATTCCAGGCTGACTCTTGTACCTGCACCCTCACAACTGTTCCTGCTGTGGGTGTGTGGGCAAGATAAGTTCAAAGAAGAAACAGGAAACAGCACAATACCTATAGCTTCTCATACCCTTGCCTAAATTAACAAGGAACCTAAGACAGAATTAGTATTAGGAGCAAAGAATTGCATACTTAATATTAAGATCTTTTAAGACTCCCTCAAATGGAGGCAATGGCCTTTTTATTAAATGCCAGTGAAAAACAGGTTGATGCAAGTATAGTCATTATTTTCAAGAGGAATAAGCTCTTCTTAGACAAAACAAAATCACATTCTCTATTTCCACATCACTCAGCAGCACAGAAAACTGCCTAAAAATAAGCACAGAGACCTAAATAAATCATTTAAAGAGAGACAACAAAGCAAAAGCTAAGTCTGAACATTTAATTAACTGGAAATTTAAAAAAAAAAAAAAAAAGGCAAAAAAAAAGAAGAAAGCACAAACTCATTTGAAAACACGATGAAAAGCAAGATGTGGGCCTGGTAGAATGGAGATAAAAGATACAGTAAAGCCCCAAACATTAGCAATTCTATTATCTAGGTGTGAAAAAAGTGAACCAACCACAGAAGAAAACAACAACAAAAAAAAACAGAGTTAAGGGAAACACCCAGCCAACAAGGAGAAGCATACTGCACTAAATATAGTTAATAGAAAAGTCCATTTTTAAAATGGTGCTTTAAAATGAATGATTGGTCAGATTCTCCTGCCAGCACGCATCAGGCTGATGAGAAATAAGCAGCCTTAAAACCAGCAGCATTCCAACCCTGCAGCTTCACTGAAGCTTGTGATTTATTTGTATTTTCAAGCACATCATAAACCTGTCAGTGGCCGAGGACTGGAGAATCCGTGAAGGAACTAACCGGGATGTATAACTAAGTCACCAGGCATGACAAAGCTACCACAACCAGTGTTCTGGCTGCCACGAGGGATGCTTAATGGAGTACATGGGCACATCTTCGTGATTGTGAGTGTCCTCTGTGTCACGTACTCTACCGAAGAGAAGGCGGATTTCAGGTTTAAGCCTTTCCAAGCCCTTTCAAGCTCAGCACGAAGCTCGGGCGGGCGGCAGGAGCCCCCGGGCCCTCCTTATCATACCTTTTCCTCAGAAAACTCTCGGTTGCGTTCCGATCCTTGATTTTCAGGCACGGGCGCGATCGGAGGGCTGAAATTTAAATACTGAAAGTTGGTGTTTTGGTGGTGCTGTTTGTTTTTGTTTTTGTTTTTTCTTTACCTGACGCCCCTGGAGGCAAAAAGACAACTTGTCACGGGGGG